CTTCTTGAACTGCATTCACATGGCATTGGTGAGAGGGAGAGAGAGACACAATCAAAAAAACTGTTTCAAACACATGTTTGTGTTTATTTGTATGACGCGCGATTAAGCAAAATGTCCTTCAACTTTTTTTCAATTGATTGCAAAATTATTACACCCGCTAAATTGTAATTTCGATTCCAATCAGCTGTGTTTATGAACGCTTGACGTCGCCTTAGAAGCGGCGATGAGGAAAGAAACCCGTTGACGCCTCAAACCAACCATAACAAAAATAAAATCACCAAAAAAACGAAGAAACAAACAACGGCGACAAAATTCACCAATTCGGGATTGGTCAGCTGTCGTTGCTTCTTTCTGCGTTACTACATTTTAGCCATATATATTTTACTATTCAAATTTATTTCTCTGTGTCATTGCTAACTTGCTTCATACAAAGAAATTTTTCTGAACATCGAAAGTATTGCACGCAAAGAGGCGCGGCGGAATGGGGAAAAGAATCGCATGGAGAAACAATTGAAAATATTTAGCATTATCAAGAAAAAACGTACAACAACGCCTTAGAGGTGTAAAGAGGAACAAAAGAGAAGGAAAGACGTTAAAATTGCTCACCGTTGGTTGGACTTTGATGAAATTACTACACACACTTTGTTGTTGTTGTCGCTGTTGTTGCACATCGCATTTCGCTAGAGTCGTCTCATTTTTTCTGTTTGTAAATATTTCACCGATTATTTGTGTCAACTTCGAAATACTGCTGTGCTTTGGTATTTCGCTTTTGTATACGTCTCTCTGAAAGCGAGCCATAAAAGTTTTACGCACTAAAAACGTGAGCTCGCAAAATATACACGCGAACGAAAAATATGTTGAATGCTGGCTCCATACCGATCGATTTCCTTTTGTCGTTGCATGCGTCAAACAAACATGATGCGAATGGACCGATTTCGCTATCATTTTATGAAAACAAATAGATAAACCACCGAATGACAACTACAAAGAAACGTGCAAAAATACGATATAAAGCGGACATTCTCGTATGCAAAAAAAAAACTGTTCACACCTTACGCAAATCTAAACACCGATTTCTATGCAAATTTTAAGACCATATAAATATTTTTGCTCTGATTTCTTTTACGGATCTACGCTGTTTAGATAAAATTCCATAGCACTGAATCGTTGCGAATGCGGTGCTGTGGGATAGTTAGCCATGTTACAGATTTATCACATTCATTCAAGCGTTTGTGTGATTACGCTAATTGAAATTCATCACATGGTTTCAAATTGGTTTTATTATTGTTATTTCGATTTGGGTTTAGTGAGGTGGACGGTAGGTGTTTGGGATCAATTAGCCGTTAAAATTGTACCAGTAGACTCGAACGGCACTCAAAAACCTGTATTTTAATCAAACAACCATTGCGAATATTCGGTACGAAATGTGCCAATTCACTGAGGCTCCTCCAATCAAAATTTCTCTGCTTTTTTCTCATTCATTTGGCCAGCTCATTGGTTGCCACCTGATGCACAGCGGAACCATTCAATTAAATTGCTGATAATTAGCAAATAGTGTCACGAAAGTAATATGCATTCACGTTTTAGAACGGAGATAATTGAAATAATTTATCGAATACAGATGTTAATACACTTCTAAAATGCCGCCAGTCAAAATACAAGAATTAACCAATTAATAGCGGATAAATGTTCAACGTGATAATTCATGGCAATAATTTATTTCCAACACTCTAATTCAATAATACGATTAAAAATTGATCATTTTTTCTGCATATGCGTGCAGTAAACCATAACATTTGATCGCATTGATTCGATTTCATAAATATTTGCTCGAACAACAAACTCTTTTTTGCATTATGAAAGACGAGTGATGATTGATGTTTATTTTTTGTGAAAGCGTTCGTTATCATTGAAACATCAAAAAACATGGGTATGATTACATGACCACAGAAATTTCTTTAATACCTTGAAATCCATGGTAAAAATTTATCGAGCGCGAAAATAGTATTTGGAATTGGTCATAGAATCAAATATCTGAATGATGATTTCAAATGTTTGGCAACTAATTCGTTCGGCCGTCGCTGTGCTGCTTTTCGGATTCATCAAAAATGAATAAGTACCGGAATCGCCGCTTTGTACAATACAATGATTAGCGAGATTCAAGTTGGAGTTGTTAATCGAATAGAGTTGAGATTTGAAAGTAGTGAAAAGGTCCGAAAATAATACGCACAGTCTATTTTTTGTCGGAATTGAAAATAAAAATCCAATCAAAATATCATATATCCACAAATGCCGAAACTCGTTTGCAAATATTATAATAATTGAATGAAATCGTCAGACAAAAGATGTCACCACTCTTGCGCTTCATAATAGCTAATAATAAAAGTGGTTATGTTTAGATGCGCTTCGAATATCACAACGAAAACATGTATCGAATCGAATGGTGTGTTCAGTGATCTTTTTTCCATTTACATGCTGCCGATTGACGAATATGATATCCGTTGTACAAATGAATTCGAATCAAAGTGGGAGAAAGAGGAAATGTATGCGCAAAAATGTTGATTATACTGGAAATAAATCCACGATCGAGTAGGACTGTTAAAAATATACAAGAACGTGCCCAAAATAAAACCGTTGAAACAGAACCCAAACAGAGCTTATCACTACTCTCATTCATTGTGTTTTATTGATGATGATGGAAAAGTTTACGACGATATAATTCATTTGCTCTCTAGAATGCTTTAAAATAGCATTCTTAGAAATGACATGACGACTTAAAGTCAATCGAATAATTTATTTTCGCGCGAAGATTTATTCTTCACTTGAATGTCAGCGGCAATAAAGACTGAAAATAAAGCGTTGAATCAACAGCAACAATTCAGCAGCCATCGAAATAATTACTATTTTACCGAAACAGATGAATGTTTGCGCTTTTGTTTACTTGCTTGCTTCATTGTTTCCAATGTTAGTCATATGTATCATGTTATCCATGCGCGAGTTATTGATGAGTTTGTTGTACGATATAGCGAATGTGAGACATTTTGTTGACAAAGAAAGAAAAAAAAGATGTTTATTGACTGACATTGGATGCTCTGTGCACTCATTTTACCGGTGTGTATGCGACATCGACCGATTGGTCGATCGCTCGATTGACACAAGAGACTCACTGGAGATGGCGATTGATTTCGTAATCAAGCGATTTCGTTCAGTACACTCATCAAATCGATGGAATGCGCAAAATTTATTTCCTATTCTGCCATTTATTTACCTCAGAATATTTTTGTGCGAACACTTTTTCAAGTCTATTTAAATGCAAACAATTTGCGTTTGTATTTTTCACACACAATCATTTTTTCTTCGCTCACTCGCTTCATTTCAATTGCGTATTGTACAGCACAAATAAATAAATATTTATGAGAGGAAGAATCAAGCGGACGGAAAAAGATAAGGCTACAATTTACAGTAACAATAAACTTCGATCAAATTAAAGTGGAAAAAAGAGCTGTGGAAAATATTGTTTTTGCTCGATATATATTCATAAATTTTTTTCCCCATTTCGTTGCTCCCGCTGAAAAAGCGCAAACACTTGCATTTATCCACTCATAAAAACAAAACCAAAGTCCGAACACAACGACTATGAATCGATTCAGTGTTGTTGTGGCGGCTACGTAATAACTGGTGTGAACAGTTGTGCAATAATTACAATTCGAAATTCACGGTCAATATCATATCGAGAGCGTGCGTTTTTGTTTGTGTTGTGAATTTTCCCCGATTTTATTTTCTCATGCACATATACACAAGCACACCGACTCGGGCGACGGAGCCGTCTAATCACTTTGCATCGAGATCGCAATCAATTTAATTTGTTTGCAAATACATTTGGCTCGTTGATTCTAGTCTTATGGTTTTCCATCAAAACACCCGACAAAATTACACAAAAGACTTGCCGCTTGCAGTTGCATCTCCGTCGCAGAGAAGAAAAAACAAACAAATAAACAAAATAGCACACAAAACACTTTATCTTCATTTGTTGGTCAATTTCCGGTTTGTGACTTATTTGAAATATTGCAAACGATAAAGACCTGCCACAGAGGCAAGAAATCAACATTTCTACTAATTGGCACAACGCGAAAACCAATCACAAAAACGTGCTTTTATTCAATTAAAACTATGTACACACAAAAAATCCACCAATTTAATAAATAGAACCCAAAAATATTTTTGTGTTTGGTCATTCTAGGTCTAATTACGTTGCGACATCGTAACAATTAAAAACATGCCATTCAATCACCATCAAAACGTGACCAATGTCATATTAGCCTTTTCAGTATACACACACAAAAGTTCCTTCACTCTTTTTTCGTGTGTGTCTCTCTTCCTCTATCTCTTTCCCACCCTGTGTGCATGGTCGGTATTCCTTTTTTTTGTCCACATTTTGTCCCTGTCTTTATCTCTCCAATGGCCAAAATAATTTATTAAATAAATCAATTCGGTATTGTTGAGCACGCGTTTCGATTCAATCGAAAGGACTTTCCTCAAAAAATTGTCATGTGCTACCAGAAATAGATCCAGATTATTTAAGTCAGATGATTGTCAATATTTGTATTTAAATGCCGTCGCTAGAACATTTATATTCATTAACTGCCACGATCTTCTATTTCACTTGTAGCGTTGAGCATTCAATTGTGCATGTCGTGTGCCTCAAAGTCGATATCATAGTCGCGATAGTACAAAAGCAATGCATAGCGTACGAAAAAAAAATTGTACATTATCAACAAACAATAGTTTGTAATTAATGAATTGCAAATTATAATTAATCAAATTCGTTGGATTTGCACGAAGCCGCTGATGAATTGTACTTTTGTACTGTATAATTGTGATTTTGTTTTAACTCCATTCTTTCCAGAATTTATTTTCATCGAAGTAGAAAAAAAAACAAACAAACAAATCTGATTTTTTTCATTTTTCCTTTTTTCTCTCTCTGTTTCTCTCTATTTTAGATCTGAACGAGAAATTTTGTTGTTGTTGATGTTGAAAATTTGTGTGCAGCTGCTTTCGAGAGGCATCGCTCAAGTGCATTTTTAAATTGTTGATTCGGTGCGAGTTACATATATAAATATATTTTTAAAAAAACGTGTTAGCAATTCCCATAAATTGGTAAGTAAATGATCTCTCATTACAAAGAGCAGCGCAAGTTCGAATAAAATCGTTGGTCCAATTGAAATTTGTTCAAATTACGTGTGATTATATGGTCGGAATTCGTTGCGAACCGAATTGATTTGCGTTGATTTCATGCCATAACATTCGAATGACATCTAATACCGTTTAATTTCACACGAAGTGCCACTCAAACGCTGCTGTCTAGGGAACATTTGTATCCCTCGCTCTGCCCACAATTTGACGTAATATCCTCATTTCAATACAGAAAAAGTCGCAACAACTCATGTATTGAACATTCTTTTTTCATTCATATCGAACCAAACAAAAAACGAGACAAATTCCGGTGATTCGGATTGACTTTGACAGTTTTCGGTTGATTTTGTCGTTACAGTCGAAACTACAATGAAAAATACAATTTTAGCTTGTCGATTCGCTCCGCAATATAAGCTGCAGCTTTAAACTTTATTATCTGGTTAAAGGGAACCCATTAGAAATAATTATATACATTTGATTTTGACTCTGAATTTTGTTTCGAACGATTTTTGTGTTTTGTGATGTTCAATGTTGAGTATGATATCGCAGCATCTGGCTGGCGGTGGCGGCGGCGCGTTTGTGTGAATCAACAGAATTACAAATGAAATAAAAAAAGAATTGCGGTATTAACTATGTTACTCTTTGAATGAAAATGATGTACACACAATAGAATCGCTCGTTTTTTTCTCTTCTATAATGATTTTGGAGTTTTTTTTTCACTGACCACATAATGCCAAGTTGAATACTATATGCCTAGCATTTCAATTGAATATTGTTTTTTTTTTTTTCAATTGAACGATAGTTTTTTTCTCTCGAGTGTTTCAATTTTTAAACTTGTCTTCCCACTACGAAATTTCGCTGAGAATATCCAAATTAATGATATATTTTGACTTGAACTCGAATCTTTGATAAAGTTACCGTTTTCCAATGCATGCAATACACAGATGGGAGGTCTCTCCATCTCCGGAAATGTGCACAATCATCGCTTGATTCTTTTGAACATGTTTTGCTGATTGTAGCTCGTAATAAAGTTGATCTACGGATTAAATGAATAGAGGAAAAGCACACAAATAAATACATGCCATAAAAAGATTTGACAAAATCTCTTGTACACTAGACGAACATCACCACAGCACAATCAAATCACTCAGCGACTTTGTGTCGCAGACGGATTACAGACGCACATGTACAAGGGATCTGGTGACGTAAAATAGCTATAAAGTGGTTCAATGTGTCAAGAACCAACACCTTGACGAAAATCACAACATTTGCCATTCCATAAGTTCACGGAGATTCCGTTGAATGCTCAACACTTGTTCGTTCGTTCGTTCATTCGCTCAATCGCACCCATGATATTCGATTCGCAAATGTCACACACTCCAGTTAAGCCGCTACTCCATTTTAATTAAGCATATTCTTATGCATAAACATTCGATAAAGTCAATTTTGAATGAGTTGAGTACACATTCAATGAAAACGACGTGGTACGACACTTCGTGCATAATATGTAATTGTGATGACAATGTAATAAACAGAAAAAAAGACACGACGACGACACAACAATTCAATTCATATGGTAGTGCGTCGCATTCAACGAACGCAACGTGTTCGAAATGTATGCCAATAACCTCATATCGATTGAGTTCGGTTTTGTTGTTGTTGAGGAGTGAATTTAAGGCGCCACCGGGTTGAAATCATAGAACGATATGTGTAACCGTAAGTCTTCAATGTGTCCTTGGCTCTTCGGTCTCTTTTTCAGCTATCGCTGTTCTTTACCATCGATTCAAATGTTCAAAGGCTTGCGTTTCATGTATTCAACCGTTTGAGACGTATACTCTGTCACCTGGTTGGTTTCACGACCACAATACCATCCAATGATAAAATTCATTTTTGTCCGATTGAAAATAATCACATATGCCGATACGACGTACTGAAAAATCAACCATTAAAACATTGACAAATTATCATCGATAAGTTTGAATTGATTTTTATTTTCGTTTTAATGCCGTCTGTTCGTACACGGCGTCAGTGCTGTTTTACAAGTTCTTTTCTTGTTTTGTGCACACGGAAACAGTAAACTCAATTGCGTTGGATATTGTTTGTGTTTTTTTTTCGTTGTTGTTGTCACAATCAATAATAAGTATTCGAAACAGTTCCCAAAGTTGACGCAAAAACACTGAATTCAAATATTAATTTTCGATCGAAAAGAAACAACAAAATTACGAATTAAGTTATAGTAAACGATAAAACTGTTTATTGCCGCATTATTTAAGGTGATATCATTCGGATTATCAATGCCATTTGCATATTGTAGCGTGTGTAGTGCAGCGTATGATACGCACAATTTGGGCGCACAAAGTTCGATTAAACGCACGGTCACATCAAATGCTCGGGGCTGCACAGCTAATTTCGATTTGCATTTTGTCCAAAATGGAATTGATCAAAACACACACACACAGCCGCACTGAATGCTGCCTATTAATTACGGTGATTGATTGCGCAAATCATCGCCATTTCCACTCGGTAAAGCTCAACATTTTGGCACCTGAGATGAATTCCGAACACATTCAAAAGAAACAATACATGACAAGAAACAGAAATATAACAGAAACATTTTATGTTGATCACGCGTGATGCGAAGTTATTGGCAACAAAAACTGTTCTTGAATGATGGACACACGTCTGGAATGAATAATGGCGCCATTTGCTATTTTGAACGCATGCCTGTGCTGCTGTTTTGCTGTTTACTATGCAATTTCGCAACAAAATTTTCAGCATAGTGATAAGCGATGATTTCGGAATAGAGAGAGAGATTGATGTGTGTTGTGCGCAGGAAACAAATGCAAGGAAGCATTCATTACGTCAATTGCAATCCGGAAGACAATTTTACCATAGTAATTTATTCTCATATTTTGACATGATAGTTAAACTACGATGTCATTTGAATTGAAGATGTGTTTTTCGTCCCTATTTTTATTGTCAAACAGGAAAAAAAACGATTTAGGAAAAAAAAACGGAAAAACCGAAATCAAAATGAGTTCCACCGAAATTAATCTCGTCGATGTGCAAAACGGATAAATGAACGCCTATTTAACATTATTTAAGTAAAAAAAACCTTCAAAGGCAATGCACAAATCGAATGGAGGTTTCTTTCACGACAAAATCGCAACGCGCCCAAAACAAGCCGACATTTAGCAACTTTGTGTTTGTGTCAAGTTCAGTCAATATCATGGCAGCGATAACTTACACTTTTATCATCGTTTTCATCGTCTGCGAGTTTTCGGTCTTCTGTTGTGTATACGATTGAGTTCGATATCTCTCTGTCGTGTCTCCTTTCCTATGCCAAGTGATAATCAATATTCGCGCATTTTGAATGGTAGAATTTGTATTCAAACAAAAAATGTATACATTTAAAAGTTTATTTTTGTGAATATTTTATGGGTCTCGTATGTGTGGAACAAAAAGCGAAACGATATTTCAAAAACTGACGCAAAAATCCTCGCTAAAGACGGAAGTTTCTATTTTTTTTAATTAATTGGCAAAGATTTGTATATCTAATCGAATTCATACTGACATATTCGCAAAACCGATAGGTTTATTGAACCTTTTCAATTTTGAACACTCAATGCTGGTTTCATGCGGTGTGAATACATCTAATTGAGCAAAAGTGAAACGATTTCGTTCGCTTATATAACATCAATTAAATGCGATAAAAATTATTCTATGCGCCACATTTGGCTCGTGCACAGCAAAATAAAAACGTCACTTGGAGAACACAGCAACAATCATATATGCATCCCGCTGTTGGATCGCATTATTCTGCATGAACTCGACATGCAACAACATCGACAAAAAAAATCAGACGACACGACGAGAACATTATTGGGTACAAAGTTCCATTCGCCGTTCACTGAGGCGTTTTTCTTTTTGTTTCTTTTTCTTTTCTCATATGGAAATTGTCGCATAAACCGAAGCCATTGCGCCTTTATCGTTCGCCACAATGTGTGCACAATTTACATAGAAATGTAAACACATCGCACGATCATATGTTCGTAACCAGTTTTGTTTTTGTGCGGCAATTGTGGCTAGTGCTTCGCGCTTTGTCGTCACTGACACTCACTGGCCGCTCGCATAGCCTGTGCTGCAATTGCATAGTTACTTTTAACGTAACATGATTTTTTGCTGTTTTCGATACGCATTCACTCGCAGTCACGATCAAGTTTTTCATCGGTCTTCTTTTATCCGGTTGTAACCGGCTCGTCATGAAACTCTACCGCAATCGCAATCGATTCGAGATTTGATTCAAATAAATCAATTTTTGATTCGATAACAAAGTGTTAATGCAAAAATAGTTCTGCAAGAAAACGAGCTCAACACTTCAGATATATAACGTTTGTATTGATGAAATTCACCTTGAAGCTGTTTTTTTATGTTAATTCCTGGAAGATAGATAGAAAAATATATGATTTAATTATCGTTACTTTTCGGGTTATTTAAGACAATATATGAGCACATAAGTGACACAAGTCATCACCTGATGATTTCACATCAGCCAGGGTATCAAGAAAAATGAAGAGAAAAACATGCGGTTGAACACATTTCAAGAGATTTTGTTGTTGCCCATCATAAAAGGCACGCAATGGTAGACATGATACACGCCAATATAACGATTGAACTCGAGAATTAAAACGTGAAATGTGGCCCAAAAGAGAAAGAGCATTCTAATTATAATAAAAAATACATTGACAAGGTCGTTTGGTTTGATTGGCTGGTGCGTACGGTGATCGCGTTCAAGTTGGCGCTTTATTTGTTAATCTCATCGTTTATGTCGAATTAACGGATCGACGAAGGCAGTGACTTAACAGTGTCTATCTGCATCAAGTAGGATGACAGTCAAATTTAAGATAAAATCCCCTTCCATTCACACATTTTCGGCAACGGCATCGGCACCGATCATAAATGTG